TGACGACAAGCTTGGGAAAAACATGGCACAAAAAGTGCATATATGGCTGTATTTGAGCTACATCTATAAACATTGTTTAAGAATGGTGTGGTGTTTACTTAAATAACGTTGGTATGCAATATTGTATTACCAGAAATGATGAATTCAAAACTTGACATAGATGTCAGATAAGAAACATAGTCTATTTTACGGCGGAACAAACATTTTTAAATTTTATTGCTAAAGTCCAATCACTCAATTTCATATTTGCAATAATACATTCTAACACAAATTGGTAAGAACCAACACAAATTCATGTTTTTAAAGGAACTACATTGATTTGCACTGACATTGTCATCTATTGTGATCAAGATGTTTCATTTATGAATACATTCGATGTAATGTGCATAATAAGTATAAACATTTTGATAACGATCAACTCAAAATTGACCGATCTGAACATATCAACTGATCGATGCTTATAGCTGAAGCTCTGATAAGGTTAAAATATATCGGTTTATGATATTGAAATTTGATACAAATCGACCTTTTTTGCTGAATTGCCTAAGATCTGATAAGTAGAGTTTAAAAAGTTTTGTAACTCGAGGCCATGCAAAAAGAGTACATATGTATGTCTACATCAGTGTACCTCAGGTTAAAAATGTACGTAAATGTATTTTGTTAAAGATTGTAAACATAAAATATTGTAATAGTTAGCTTGCTTGTAGACTCGTTCTGCAATCTACAATTGTCAGAATTTGTGAAAAAGCATGATCCTTGTGATTATTGGAAACGATATTATTGAATATGTATCACAATATCCGGTACGTGCATGTTGAAAAAAAAACTGCATCCTGTTTCGTAGTATTCTACAGAAAAAACTTAGAGACCTTATGCTGTTATCTTCTAATTTAAATTCTTGATATTCAAAGTTTTCGTAGTCGACTTTTAAATGTTATTTCTTCTCTTTGAGAAACCATGCCCCGCATATTGACATGGAAACAGCTTGACTCTAGTATGTTTTGTTTCGCGTCATCAGCGGCCAGAAAAAAAAGGCTATCTTAATTATATTTTTGCATCATTTTTAAAATTGTTACAGTTAATGTATTTAACTCGTCGGACTAGTGACCAAAGTATTGCTTGCCGCAAGGGTCAATTCCCAGCAGGGGCAAGACTTTGTTCACAAAAACCAATTTGAGGGTGTTTCGATACACTTATAACTTCCAACACAATCAAACTAAGATAATTAAGTATACACTAGTATTGCAATTATTCAATGCACACATATACATTACATGTAACATTTCATGTATAAAACAAATATTAATTTGTACTAAAATTCAACTCAAGTTTAACAATATTTGCAACTGCTTCCAAACAAAACAAACTTAAATCATTAATTACAACAGAAAATTAAGTCCGTACCTAAAATAGAATGAATTTAATCCTCCAACTTTAAACCTGCTTCTTCACTAATGAAGGAAAGGCAATAATGTGTTGTATATTGTCTTTCTTATTATAATGGAATAAAGTATGTTTTAATAGTTATCACATGTAAAGCAGTGGTCAATATGAAGTAGTAATCTGGGAAGAAAGAAGCAACATGAAAGCAAAGTGGTATTTTATCTACCATACAAAATGCAAAATCCTTATAACTATCACCAAAACGAAAAAATAGCCCTGCATTTTAGTTTTTTTAAAAATATATATTTATTTCAGTTATCTATTAAACAAAATATAAGACCTTCTTTAAAATAAAAATATTTTATATTCTATCTATTTTATCTGAAGTATTTACATTTAACAAAGAAAACTGAAGGCGAACACTGGTAACAGAATAAATAGAATTAGACTTATTAACTGATAATAAAATTGACATTCCTTGAAACTATCATTTCTCAAACTGTGTTTGCCAACTAACTACAATTTTCCCTTCTTTACGTAAACATACATTACGTTTACAATAAGCATAACTGTTATACATATATAACACATTATCTTCCAAATCACCACCTTAAATACAGAAGAGCTTGTAATTTCCATACTGATGAAACAAAACATACTCAAAATAGCTGTAATTATTGGAAGATATTGGCAATAAGGATATTTAAGTATTCATATAGTTAATGCATGCGATGTTGGCTTGTATTTTTAAGGATTTTATGTTCAATTCATGAATATCCTTTATGCTTGAATATTATAACTATGCATAATTTTAAACTCGATTTCTAATTTGATATTAAAAAGTATTTAAAAATGTTGTTCTAAGAATTTTATCTTATAATTATAATTATATATAAGGAATTATACAAGTATTTTTTTTAAATGTTCATATTAGAAATAGTAATAGAAATAATTGTGCCTTTCAAAGGACGAATATGAGCCTTAAACCCAAGTTTCACTGTTTACCTAAGTAACGAAACAAACTATTTATATCGTATTTATATCGTTTCATGGGGCGTCCGTTGCCGAGTGGTTAAGGTCGTTGACTTCAAACCACTTGCCCCGTACCGCTGTGGGTTCGAATCCCGACAGGAACTTTGGATTCTTTCATGTGAGGAAGCTATCCAGCTAGTTAGCTTACGGAACGTCGATGGTTCTACTCAGGTGCCCGTTCCTGCCTGAAATAATGAGTAAATCTGGAACGTCGCGATATGACCTATACTGTGTCGATGTGACGTAAAACCCCAAACAAACAAACAAACAAACAAAATATCGTATTATGCTTTAACATTATTCATATCTTAACTAACATGTATCTGGTTATGAAACAACCGGTTTAGTGTTTATTTGGTAATCATGCTTATGGTGAACAACACTTTTTGATTGTAACTGCCTTTTCGTTTGAATTTTGCATGTTTATAAAAAATTCTTTCTTAATTTGTCGCCTCTGATTTGTACAATAATTAGCTCTCAGGTAAAAGATGTTAACAAGGCTTTTCGTTTGTTTGACTCTTTTGGGTTCATTATTTTATATATGAATACAAATAAGCAAAGTAGTATACAGTCAAATAATTTAGAAAATTGTTAAATTCATTTAAATACGTGAAGAAAAATAAAGTTCTAACATTTGTATTAAAAATCTTATGCAAATGTTCTTATTACTTTACTTTACTTTTTATAGCATCTTACGCGAAATAAATGATGGAGCTAACCCTAGCAATTGCAAACATGTTACATGTAAGAAATGCCAGTGAAAAGTATGAGAATTTGTCTTTACTACATTGCATTGTCTCAGAAACAAATGATATAATGTTTAAATGAACTTTTAATGAATTAAAAAAAAACAAACATTAATATAAATACTGGCATTGAATGGAAATCTGCATTTAAATTTTCCATTCTATTTTGTTGATATAAGATACCTTTTCTAGGGTTTTATCATTTTATTTTGTTTTTTAAGCTTAATAGTAATTATACCTCAGAAACAAATGAATTGGTGTTGTTTCAAATGTGTACTCAATTGTGCAATTCATTCGACAGTGTGGCATAATGTCTACTTGGAGCTACCTACTCTTTAATGATGAACCTTTGCAAAGTATTGAATCTTGCAAACACGGAATTATAATTGAAAATATTGCATGTGGTAATGAAACACCCGCGGATGATTTGACACTGGTAGTCGCCGTATATATCAATAAAGAATCAGGTTGATGTCGTTAACACATACGCAAAAAAACAGTGATATTAATTTAACTATAACAAATGTTGTGTATTGAAGTTTGACGGTAAAATGTCTTCCACTTATTTCGAGTGAATATCGGTAATTCTAAAATAACGATTACCGTCGTATTAGCACATCACAAGATGTTTCTAAATTCACATTTTAACCATTCCTATGTTTAAATGTTGCATTCTGCTTAATCCGGTGTTATGGGGCATCATGAAAAGTAGCCTGCACTTTCCAGTTCTGTTCACAAACAGAATCACTTAAACCGCGTCTGAAACATTTTCAATTCTAAAATTTTAGACATTATAAGGGATTCCCTTTCTCTCTATTTGTTAGCTTGTAGTAAATATTGTACTGTCATTTGGTATAAAAGGCAAGGTTCGATGCAAAACAGATACTTTTGTGCTAAATAAGAATATTTATTACAGAACAAAATGAAAATCGTTTGTGAGAAAAAGCTACAAGAAGAAGTAATACGGAAGCTTAATTATTCATGTGGCTAGCAGAAAGCTAACATGATATATCCATTACGTCTGATTTTTTTCCGCCCTGCAATGGTAGATGTCAATCAGTGAGTCATTTATCAGTGTTCGCTCATGAGATAGACATCTATTTCGGTTTAAAAAATACATATTCATTTTACATACACTTGATTTAGAATCTATTGAATTTGAATTCATAAGTTGATGCAATTTCATGGTGTTTTTATTTTATTCTAACAACATTCATTTTTTTTGAGCCCACTTAATTGTCAATAAGTGTTGCTGTCATTTTAGGTGAACTAACATTTAATTGATACTTAATCACTAAAATGTTATACATAAACTAAAATATTACATTTTATTAACAGCACTCGTGAATGATGTTACAGTATTGCGTAATTATCGAAATTCGAAAGTTATTTTAAAATGAAATGCTTTAAAGAAGAATATCAATTTGGTTAGAAAAGATATAGTCAGAAATATATGACGACTGTTAACAAAGTCAATATGATTGTCAGTGCTTTTATTATTCGAAGTATTTTATTTTGCTGATCTTTACGATAGACATTTGTACAAGGACGTATACATTTCACATCAAATCGCCAAATAATCTTCACAGAACTCAGCTTAAGTGATTATAGAGCTTGTTAACGATCACGTTTAATCTTCAAACGATAGAAGACATTACTTCAGTCTTAACTATACTTAATGTAAAAGTGCACCCAAGAACAACCAGTATACCATCGTTAGAAATAAATGAATAAAAAACAACTCATAAATACATTTCCCGGACGAGCATGTAGACAATAAAAAGGGCTTGAGCATAGCCGATATAGTATAGTAGTATATTAATTACAAACTCAATTTTTTAGACAACATAAGTCTGCTTGACAAAGAATCTGCCACATAACGGTCTTTACTAATGTCGGACTTCCACCGACCATGACGTTTCCAACATCTATCATTAACTCCGGTATTGGCAGCTGTGGTTGCCCCACCAGACCGTAGTGAATGTAGACCTATGTTCAAATCCCCCGTAAATGGACGCAATCTACTTATAATACATTCCCTAGCCCTTGAGTAACTTAACGGTTTGTCTTTGTAAATTAATTTACAAGTAGAATTTGATCTAAAACATGGCCTGAATAAATAATTGCTATCAAATATAGTCTGACTGGACAAAGTTAAATAACGCCTTAACATTTTATAAGGACAAGCAACAGACATTCCTTTACTTATAACTATTTCATTTCCTAATCTGTATTGGTCAGTCTTACTTTTCCTAATTTTCAGACAAAAATGGTCATCATGAAAAACAATATCGTTACACCTGAGTGAACTTAGTTCATCATATCTCAAAAAGCCTGCGAAACCTAATAAAATCATATACAAATCTCTGACAACCAAAATGTCTGAAGATTCTGAATATTCAGAGCAAACGTCAATCAATGTCTTTGTAGACAAAGGTTCTTTATTAGATGGTGGTTTAGAATTGTTCCGTTTAGCATTTTCTAATAAGTTCTTTACGAACGAGTTTTCAGTAGGATCCGGAAGTCCTTTTAAGCCATGCGCCCATTTCAAACTATACACAGATGCTGAAATCACATGATCAAAACAACGTTTTTCTAGTAAATCCGTAATATATAATGCGACGTGAATAGGAGACGCTGGTAAAGAATTACCCCCCTTCTCAGAAATGAACTTGTCCCACTTCTTGAATTATGAAATATACTTAATATTTGTATTGTCACTTCGTGAACCCAACAATTTGTGTGCCATTTTATCAGGCAATTCACCGAAACTGTCTAACGCTACCCCTGTCTGGTTCACGTGGTCGATAATCGTGTCCTTGAGCTTCAAACCTGAAAATATATAAGAGCATTCTATTATGTTGTCACAATTCTCAACGCTAAAAGGCCAAATTTTAAAATCCTTCCATCGAAAATTCCATTCTTTCCTCTGCCTCTTCCTGTCAAAACACCTTGCTGAAATTGAAACAAATCTTTAATGTTAAACGCTTGATTTTTGCCATCTGGAAAGATCAAAGGCCAAAAACATGCCGATCTCCACATCGGTACCACCAGGGTACAAACGCACTTGTCTCCTATTCCTTTTTTAATACATTTACTTACAAGCCTCGGTGGTGGCACAAGCCAATTTATATGCCCTGACCAAACTTGCCTGAAAGCATTCACTCCATTAGTACCTGGACACCAAAATCTAGAATTTAAATTTTGACATTTGGTATTGTAACTATATGCAAAATGATCAATTCTATGCTTACCCCACATGTTTTCGAGCTTGCGGAAAACCCAGTCTTGAACAGACCAGTCATCACTATCGCAACATTTGCTCAAATAATCTGCGTCAACATTTTCTGATCTAGGTACCGACAATGGTTCTATTTTCATACTATTCTGCCTACATATATCATCAACCTTTAAAGCAATTTTTTGAAGATATGGCTTAGAACTACCCTTATTCAAAATTATCGTCGGTTTTCCACGTAATCTGTTGCCCTTCCAGGCTTTCTATGTTACTCAGAAGAACCCTATGCACAGCCTCGAGTTCCCTCCAAGTAGAACTTAGACCAGTCTCATTTTCAGACCAACTTCCTATGACGTCACTTCCAGACGCGCCCTCTACGTAACCTCCGTAACCAAGACCACTGGCATCGCTAAATACCGTACAAATATTACTGCTACCACAGCCACTAAAATCTATGCTGTCACAACTGACATTTTCCATAAGGCAGTAATTCATATCTTTAATGTTTTCCTTCCAGAAAATCATTTCAGATAATGCTTCTGAAGTCACAATGACCGAAGCATTCCAGATTGCTCTTTGATTAATGCATGCATACATAGCACGTGATCTTAAGCTTACAACTGAACCTATCACACATTTCATGGACATCAAATGTCCGACCAAATAAGCTAATTTTCTTACCTTAATCAGCGTTCTGTCGCCACATACCTGGTCGATTATCGAAACTACTAACCTTTTAAAAACGAAGCATGCGTTCTTCTGTTACAGATAACACACCTGATATGGTATTCCACACGTATCCCAACCAAACAATAACTTGCGTTGGATACCAAATACATTTCTCTTCTGCTAAAAGAAAACCAAACAGCTGTAAATCAGCTTTAATAAATTGATTTAAAGACAAACTTTTATCAAATGTCACGTTTCCGCCCAGACCATCGTCAAGAAAAACTATAATATTTTGTCCTTTGGAACGCCAGTGTTTCACAACAGCTCTCATCACCTTCGTGAATATGTAACCTGCTACAGAAATACCAAATGGTAAAACATGGAAAACATAAAACTTTCCATCCCACTCAAAACCTAAAAAGGTACGATGAGAATCAAATATCATAATATGGTGATAGGCGCTCTTTAAATCGAACGAAAATAAAAATGTGTCTTTTTTAAACAGTTGCTTAGCAACCGACTGATCCTCAAAAGTACATTTATATCTAAACAATGACATATTTATATGCCTGCAGTCTAGTACTAAACGCGGCTTACCTGACCTGTTAAATGCTACTGTTAATGGATTAACAACATGTGGAACCTTTTTCACCACAGATATACAACCTTTTTGCAACAGCTTATCTATCTCAGATGTTACAATCTGAGCATTATCTCTAGCAGATTTGTTGTTCTTTAAAAATGCTTTTTCAGGAATTACTTTAAATGGCAATTTATAGCCGTTTTCGATAACGTCTATGATGAAATTACCTGCATTTGCCCTTTTCCAATGTGTAATATTATCTCTAAGTCGACCAACAGGGGTCATAACTCTTGTTTCTACATTACTTGTACTTTGACTGTTAAAGGTTTGCTCTTTTACTAAAACAAAATCTGATATTTTTTCTAAACAAGAAAATTTACTTAACTGGCTAACACTTGAATCATTCGCCTCTGTAACCTTGACCTTGCAATCTGCCTGCCAATGACCCGGCCTCCCGCACCGGAAACAAAGCCCTGGTTTTCGCCCGAGTGTCTGAATCCGAACGCCAACTGGAGCTGGAGCAGACGTTGTAGCCGTCGCATCCCTCGATCCTGGATTAACGTAAGGGGTAAAACGCCTCGACTTTAAACGCCTTTCTTGTCTGGCCTTTCGATCCGCCTGCAGCTGTGCTCGATACATTTTCTTTTCGTCATCGGATCCTTCTGCAAGTGGATGCGTTTCATATTCTTTAACCACACGCCATCCTAGGTCGCTAGAATCGGCCAATTTTATTATTTTTTGACGGTACCTTAAAGTGTCCATACCTTCAATTACTTTCTGTGTGGCTGCCTCTGCTTTAGTCGATCCGCTAGAAACCAAGTCTTCGAGCTCGTTCCTTGCTTCAGCCAAACTTCCAAGCACTTTCTTGTTAAGCTTGAACTTTTCCTCGTTTTCCCGCTTTCGAAACTGATAATTGTCACTTGTATCCAATTTTAGCTTTAATTTTTCAAGCTGAGTTTCTAAGATACGTTTTTGAGCTTCAGACATCGTTTTCTCAAACTCCGACAATTTACTTGAAACTGGACCATCTATTCTACTCAACAGATCATTTTCTCCCGCTGTATTGTCCATTTTTTGCCACGTGGTCACCCAAACTAATAAATTTAATTTTGTACGTCTTTACTAAACGAGTGTGTCCGGTAGACTGATTCGCCTTTCGATAAACATCCCAAAAATAAAATACACCCACGATTTTCCCGTGCAATACATTTACACACTGAAATAATTATACTTCTCACAAAAATAAACGCAACGTACAGACAATATTTTCGCGCTATACTAGCGAAACGCGCGAAAATTTCATTATTGCGGATGAAGTCTGTTTGACACACAATAACTCTTGCAATTATTACTTTCCTAAGACCATCGAAAGGCCCATGCAAATTAGATTTATTATTTCAAAATGAGTGTATTCATTTTTGCATCGATAGGAAAAACCCAGTCACCATTTTGGATTTATTATTTGGAATACGATCATTCGATAATGTACGGAGCCCCTTACATTTACCACACCTTTTTCCCGGAGCTTAATTCATTTGTACGAAATATTAATTCGTAATTACGAAATATTAATTCGTAATTACGAAATATTGATCCGTTTTTACGAAATATTAATTCGTTTTACGAAATATTACTTCGTAATTACAAAATATTAATCCCTTTTTACGAAATATTAATTCGTTTTTAAAAATATTACTCCGTAATTACGAAATATTATTACGTTTTTAATTCGTTTTTACGAAATAATAATTCGTTTTTACGAAATATCAATTCGTTTTTACGAAATAATCATAATTACGAAATATTTATTCATTTTTACGAAATTTTAATTCGTGTTCACGAAATATTTTTTTCTTAATTACGAAATATTAATTCAATAAAACTAAATGTTATTTTATAATTACGAAATAATGATTCGTAAATATGAAATAATATTTCGTTAAAATGAATTAAATTTTTTCTAGGGTTTTAAAGAGGTTTGGTAATGTTTTTAAAGAAGGCATTGAAACTACGTTCCTGACTAATTATAAGGCATGTAAATAGACAGATAAGTGATCTTTTTCTCAACTTAACACTATTGTATAAATCAAAATAACCGCCTGTCAATAGCCGTAATAGTACATTTGTTCAAATGGGGGTCCTTTGCTTCAAATCCAAACACGGACATTTTTTTTTCTGTTTCGTTTTGTCGATTTTTTTTTGAGTTTTGAAATAAAAATATAATCTTTATATGATCGCACGGAAATTGTTAAGAAATATACTTTTTCAAATTGATTAGATTAGTAGAAATCTGGACCCCCCCCCCTTTAGTTAAACTAATGTATAATTATGATGAAAGAAAGTAATAATATCGCGAGTTTCTTTTTAAAAGAAACATGTCAGAAATGATTAATTGCCCCAAAATCAAAACATTGTTGATGGGAACATGTATTTGACATTTGGGAAAAAGAGGATATTTTGGATTGAGAATGACTTCTCACTCACTGTAATATATTAACTTGAGAATCATTCGGCTTATAATTGCAAGGTTGATCCAGTCTTGTAAATGACCCTTTCTGAGATTAATAGGTTTTTCGTCAAACTCACCTTAGATAAACTGACCTTAGATAAGATTTCGTAATATTTCGTAATAACGAATTAATATTTCGTAAAAACGAATTAATGTTTCGTAAAAACGCATTGATATTTCGTAAAAACGAAATTATTATTTCGTCACAACGAATTAATATTTCGTAATTACGAATTTATATTTCGTAAAAACGAATAAATGCCGGGAAAAAAGTGTCAAAAATTTCACCTAAGGGGCTCCGTAATTTTGCGATGGATGTATGGATTTGTTTGTCATTTGTGTGTGTGGCATTTAATCTTCCACATTCAGCAATACAAATTATGAATCATTTTTATTTCTTTGAACGTGACCGTTTCAAAATCCTACATTTAACACCATTTTTCGTTGTTTTAATATTGTGTTTTCTTAAGCTGATACAACGGGTGTTTCCGTTTAAGGTTTCTTATTTGTATTAAGTTTACTGCACATTTATTTTAAAGATCGTCACAGAATAACTGGGAATTCATTAACAGTTTTCGTAATGTAAATGGAATTTAAATGATGTGAACTATACTACAAAACCTCTAATCACACACATGTTCTGTGTTATACATACATACATTATTCCCCTAAATACAAAGGAACATACCAAGTTAAATACTGAAATAACAAATGTAACTTCTGCAAGAAATTATCTTAATAATTTACAATTTGTATTACATTAAAATTCCGAGGTTGAAATACTTTGGCTTCAATTTTTTAATAGTTCTTTGAAAATGCATGAGACTGATGAAATGGTTTGTGATATATAAAAGTTTAAACATGGTAATTGAGAGATATATTTTTCATATTATTCATGGAGTGGAATGATAAATTGATAAAAATCCATTTTTATTACTAAAGTAGCAATCACTAATAGAAATATTAACGATGAATATAATACAACAGAGAAATATCAATGAAGTGATTTGCTTCCATTTTACGTGAACAATGCCTTAAAATATTTAGATATTTACTTTGTAATGCATTATCATTTTAATATCTGAACATTGCTTGAATGGTAACACAGTTTCATCCTCATATTTTTTTTTAAATATGTTATCAGAAAACATTTACAATACAAACACATTATTAGTTCCTCGGCGTTAACAGCTCAGAAATAAATAATTAAAGCTCAATAAATAATTAATGATAGGTTCATAAAATTTCGAAAATACTAACAATTAAAATATACATGTAACCTTATCATTAAAGTGACATTATGCCCATCTAAAGGTATATAGTGAGTTCACTGGTAAGATTAAAAATAAATGTTCATTTTGCCATAATTCCTTTTAATTTGATAATTTACGTCACATAAACAATAAATAACCCATAGGGCAGTCTTTTTATATTTTAGACAGATTTTAAATTTTATCAAAAACATTTTCCAATATAAACTGTTGGTCAAACACCATTTAAACAGTCAATCTTTTGAAATATAAAGTCAATTCAGGTCAACCTTACTATGAAAATATGTACATAATGTCACTTTAATGACTTTTCGCATGACGTTTGCTCGTTACTCTACCACGCATTAATTTTCTAATGTTATATAAAAGTAATTGCTAAATTGTAAGCGCTATGCGTGTGTGCAGTCTGTCTCATTTAAATTGTGATGCATTGCCTGATTTCAATAACTGTTAAATTAATTTTTATTATCCCTGAAATTCAGAAGAAAATTTATGATGAATAAGTTGGAAAAGTGAAGATTTGCGATAATGATCATCTTAGAAGCGACATATGTTTTATTTTCAACAAGAATAGAAGAACTTATTTCACTTGCATTATTTATTTTATGGAATGTTAATGCTATACAATTTTAATATTACTAACAAACAATACAAGATCTGTCTCAGGTCACTTGGAAGACAATTATTAATTGTTACGGAGGATTAAGAAGTAAGGAAATGAGTGTTGCAGAATTTAAAGGAATTTGTATAATTATGAAGTGAAGATATTTTAGAATGTCGTGGTTGTTAACATAAAAACGATTAAAAGTTTGAAAAGTATTTCATTATTCTTAATAAATCGTATGCACTAATTAATAGCCTACAATTTGTCGAAACGAGTTGGAGTCCGAATGACAATTTTTAAAGACAAACCTATTACTTAATGGCTAGATACGTTGTTGAAGCTTTTGAACGGGCATAGACATAATGGCTCACTGGTATTGAAATGATTTAAGTTATCAGGCATTGAGGATTGTTTTTCAACATTTGACATGCTTTTCTACCGAAGACATGATAAATTAATGACCAGCTTTTTATCCATCACCATTTATTAGTTTGAAGCGATGATTATTTTTTTTGACAGTATAACTGAATTTAAAAGATGGTAGTTAAAGCTACATTAGATAAAGTTAAAAAAAAACAGAAATAGCGACATTTCATTGATTAATTGGGCTTTATATCGGCTCAAGATCTTATTATGGTGTCAAGACAACCAAATTGAGTTTTATAAGCATACATATCTGCGACCTCATTCTGGCGGAATCGGAAGTACACTTTCTGTTTGCATAAGAAACTCCGCCTTCGGATTATCCGTACAATAAGTAGCAGTCCTTATATAACGGTATATTTCCGCATTGTAACGGATGTTTTCATACAAATTTAATATTTTTATGAGAAGCTAAAACGGTTAAAGTGTGTTTGCACATGGAAATCTCGAATTTGCTGTGTTCTTTATAGCAACTTTAACACTGTGACGTAGCACATACACGCACTGATCATAGTCTTCATTTGCATGTTAAAATTCGTATACGAACTTTAGTGTTACCGTGGGGTTTTCTGGTTATGATTGTAATTTATCAACAATGTTTGATGAGATTTACAACAATGCTGTTAAAAAGGTTAATGAAACTGTATAATGCTTGGTTTTCAGGCCGACTGCAAAATATTTTTACATATTTATTAAATGTAGCTTAAATTGCATTTATTGATAAGTAAGCTAAATATACAAAATTAGTTCAAATAAATTTGTCAATATATGAATGAATTATTCTCATACCTCACAGTATATTATTAAGTCTACATGCAATTAACAAAACTGCCAAATTATTTTAAAGTGAAATGCCTGAAGATAGGAATATTTAATGGGACAGGTTGAAAAAATGGACAGACGTTTATGTCAAGTCAGTCACGAACTTACGAGATCGTTCAATGCTTAGATTATTTTGCCGATTGAGATTTGTATTATAAAGTATTAATTTTACATCAAATCAGGGAAGGAAATGAGTGTTGCAGAATTTAAAGGAATTTGTATAATTATGAAGTGAAGATATTTTAGAATGTCGTGGTTGTTAACATAAAAACGATTAAAAGTTTGAAAAGTATTTCATTATTCTTAATAAATCGTATGCACTAATTACATGTTATAGCCTACAATTTGTCGAAACGAGTTGGAGTCCGAAAGACAATTTTTAAAGACAAACCTATTACTTAATGGCTAGATACGTTGTTGAAGCTTTTGGACGGGCATAGACATAATGGCTCACTGGTATTGAAATGATTTAAGTTATCAGGCATTGAGGATTGTTTTTCAACATTTGACATGCTTTTCTACCGAAGACATGATAAATTAATGACCAGCTTTTTATCCATCACCATTTCTTAGTTTGAAGCGATGATTATTTATTTTGACAGTATAACTGAATTTAAAAGATGGTAGTTAAAGCTACATTAGATAAAGTTAAAAAAAAAACAGAAATAGCGACATTTCATTGATAAATTGGGTTTTATATCGGCTCAAGATCTTATTATGGTGTCAAGACAACCAAATTGAGTTTTATAAGCATACATATCTGCGACCTCATTCTGGCGGAATCGGAAGTACACTTTCTGTTTGCATAAGAAACTCCGCCTTCGGATTATCCGTACAATAAGTAGCAGTCCTTATATAACGGTATATATCCGCATTGTAACGGATGTTTTCATACAAATTTAATATTTTTATGAGAAGCTAAAACGGTTAAAGTGTGTTTGCACATGGAAATCTCAAATTTGCTGTGTTCATTATAGCAACTTTAACACTGTGACGTAGCACATACACGAACTGATCATAGTCTTCATTTGCATGTTAAAATTCGTATACGAACTTTAGTGTTACCGTGGGGTTTTCCGGTTATAATTGTAATTTATCAACAATGTTTGATGAGATTTACAACAATACTGTTAAAAAGGTTAATGAAACTGTATAATGCTTGGTTTTTAGGCCGACTGCAAAATAATTTTACATATTTATTAAATGTAGCTTTAATTGCATTTATTGATAAGTAAGCTAAATATACAAAATTAGTTCAAATAAATTTGTCAATATATGAATGAATTATTCTCATATCTCACAGTATATAATTAAGTCTACATGCAATTAACATAACTGCCAAATTATTTTAAAGTGAAATGCCTGAAGATAGGAATATTTAACGGGACAGGTTGAAAAAATGGACAGACGTTTATGTCAAGTCAGTCACGAACTTACGAGATCGTTCAATGCTAAGATTATTTTGCCGATTGAGATTTGTAATATAAAGTATAGATTTTACATCAAACCAGGGAAGGAATTTCACATAACTCAACCAAAGTGACTGTAAAGCTTGTTGGACTTAAAATAATAACATGATCAAAAATGTAGGTGAATGTACAGCATTCTTGAGGATGCCAATTGTTGCACAGATGAAAGACCGGTGGGGACATTAAAACTTCATAAATTCTCGATTTCATTTTCGTGAATTCACACTTTTTAGTTTTAACAATACATTATTTTCAAATTCACGAGTTCAACATTTCAACTTAACGAATTTACGATTTCTACATGTACTTCACAAATTCACAGTTTCATGTTCACGACATTAAAATAGAGCATTAAAGAAGTTGAAATATCACCACAGGTCTTTCGTACAAACGATATACCTTGCCAATATTGTGTTCCTCAGACCGTCGTAAGATCCGTGCAGAATTGAGAAATTATCTTGAGATGGGATCATTCATTTTATCTTATGTTCAAAAGTTGCAATCGCAAGTTTTGATTTTAACTTTGTGAGAGGATGGATGGATAATGGATGGTTGGATAGATAGATGAACACGACCGTCTATAACCAGATTCAAACAAATAGGCCTGAAAATACTTCAAGTTTGCAATTTTTATATATAATGCTTTTAATTTGTATCTTTTTTGTTTCACATTTTTTTCTCGAATGACTAGGACTTCCCTACCATTTCTCGTGACGTTAATGAGATTTTAATGATGTGCACTTAACAAGTTGAATAATGAATAACAAATGTAAGTTTTGCTTGAAATTGTGTTACGATTCCCATTACATTAACATTCTGAAGTTGTAATATCTTAGCTGCGATGTTGTTATTTTATATTTAACAGTTGTGTTTTTTATTATTATTATTATTATTTTAGTCTAAGAATGAAGGTGTTTACTATTTATAAAATTAATGTTAATTACACGAACTTTGACAGTAATAATTTTATTATTATTATTCATGTAACATGTTGATAAGCATAAACATTTATGTTCTAAACTTTTTTTTTAAAAAGTTAAGATGTTCGAAGCGATAAAATTTGCAAGCTTTTTCAACAAATTTAACTACACATTTGGCGCCATATACATGCATTTTCAATACGGATTCACAGTCAACATGTGTATTTCATCTTAAGTCGTAGTATGTGAATTTCGTTCATTTACACTTAACGCATTTTATTTTGCACGACATACACTAGCTGATCCTGAAAGATTCTTTATTTTGTACAAACTTTAAGGCACAAAAATACGATTAAAACTATGTAACAGAATATAAAACATTGCTTTATGGGAAGATAATTGAAAATAGGATGATGATCCTTAAGTTTTTCTGAACACTAGCTTAAATTATCATTTTTTTGCATATGTAAAAATTAAAAAAATACATGAAATGTACTAAAGATGTGAGCATATCTAGTTCATCATTTTGCAATATATGTTATATTTGGTGGTAGATTTGTGCCATGTCGTTTTTTCGCTCCGCGGGGCGCCGGATGAAAATATGGTAATGTCAACATTTGGGTTAAGCTGTCGTATTTTCGCCTGGCGCCCCACGTAAGTCGTTTTACATAACAATACCTGTAATTCTTTTAATAAATTCTTTATTGAGCATTTGATCATTACACGTATATACTAACAATATTCACGAATAGTAATATATACGTCTGCGAATGATCAAGACTTATATAGTGAACAAAGCCTTGTCTAACAAAGAAGTTACAACGCTCCTGCTGTATATATACTTTTTTCATCTATATATACATTTCCTATTTCATTAATATCAAACAGAATATCAATGACCAGATGTAACTGATGCTAATTAATTGACTCTAGGCATGAAGTCGTAATATCATATGTAATTTACCTTGATTAAAGTGAATTGGTATATAACGGCAGGTTTGTGTTAAGTATCAGAAACAACGATCCATGAAATAATTTTATTGTGATATATGATGTTGGCAGGTTTTGATTCTTCCAGCGATATTTTATGATGCATGTCTATGGACTTTCCGTATGCTTGATGGATAGCTTCCTCACATTAAACATTCTAAAATCCCTGAAGGAGACAAGTGGTGTGAAGTCAACGACCTTAACCACTCAGTCATTGACGCCAAAAGTTGATAATATAGACAAAATTGTCCAAGCGTTTAAAACAATGAATAAATAATAATAACATTTGTCGAATAAAGATATGTTCTAAAATATACAAACTTTTAATGTTAAATATCTCCCACGGTAGTAAACGTTATACTCTTATTTCAAAACCAATTAACAATTATTTAAAACATTTTATCGCAAACCCGTGCCGATTTTGCGACTTAGTAAATATGGTATTGCACGGCCGTGCATATATTTTGACGTGACGTCATTAGCGTTATGCAAACATAGTGTAAAGACCCGCTAAATCTTAGCGTGATAAATGATCTTATTTCACTTTAAACGGTTTTTATTTTGGACTTACACTCATTCAATATCCTCTATATATGACATTGTGTACAATTTCTTTATTGTACATACAGTAACATATACGATGTTTAACTTAGTGATGAAATTATTTCTGGCGTTCATACTATCAAAAGCAAATAGAAAAGGCTTAGTCGCAAAAAAAGTAGAATTTTATTTCACTAGCTTATACTATAATAATATCATTCTTTCATACGAAATAAATCAGTTTATTTTACTTATTAATGAAATATTGAGAAATATTATGAAATAAAATGCATATTTTTATTTTCCGTATGTTCAATGTAAAAAAAATATTTTTCACTGCAGCGAAACATGTTTTTATATTTTGACTGGCGTCTTGCAGGACTACTTTCTTCTCAATTCCGCCAGTACTAAAAAGGGGAATTCTTTCAAATTGTAATGTCAAAAAAGAGGATTTTTTATGTAACAAGTTTTTTTCTCTCTCTATATATATATACAGAATTCATTTTTATCTGGTATTAAAATTATCATATTTCACTTGGGACTACTGCCATTTATGAAATATTTATTTTCAAACCACCAAATGAAAATAAATCCCGTATTTATAATTATAAAAACAGCTTGAATTTCCTCTATTTATGACGTGTTGCATTAAAAACTACTGACCTGCCGCACATGTGAACGGGCTTCCGTATCACTTTATGCATGTGTGCTTTCATTTTTAAAATAAATAAAATGAAATTTGTAGTTTATTTGTATGTGTGTTTCACTAGGGATAAATTTAAATACCGCTGCCTATGAACATTTGTATAGTGTATAGGTCAAACTTTAGTTCGAGGTTTACAAAATAAAACTGTTCTAGAGACTTATAGCTGAACAAAGTACAATTTCTAACAACATTTGGTTTATTTTGGAACAGAACATATAATTATTTATAACCTAGTTTAATTTCATAAAAAAGTACATAAGTTTATATATTTTCCGTTGATGACAAGCTATTTCTAAAACTCACAAACCACCGTGTGTGGAACAGTAACTTCAAGAATCGCCGATAAATTCTCTGTTACAGCAGTGTATATCTCCTCACAGAACATTTAAATAGTTTTGTAGAGGTGTCTGCATCGTATTAGTGTATGGAATTTTGTAAATTACATGTCGCATATATTGTACAACGGAATAAACAACATAAACAACAAAGGGTGTTAAGAACCATTTTTATGAAACGATATTGTTTGAATGACATTTATATATATGTAGGAATAGATTATATCATACTTGATAAAGGTTAGTTCATCTTGATGTTAGAATTTCGTGTGCAAAAAGATCAAATAATTTAAATACATTTGTAATTGATCCATTTCAAATACTGAAATTTTATAACAACATCGTTAAAATCATTTGAGTAAGTATTAAAACATATTTAAAATGGGTGAATACAAGGATTTGTATACGGGAAATTTTAGTTTATATGTGTTTACATGTAAAACATATGAAACAAGGGGAGACATTTTACACTGATATTTACACGGAAAGTATTAGCTGTGTTTATATGAAGTGTTTCCTGCTCGTTTTTTTTATCTGGATTTAAAAAATGTGTCCTTCATGCAATTCAAATTTATCTTTGCGTGTATGATAATATCTAGCTATATGAAACAAAAATACTTTAAAAGATAAAATAAAAAGTGGATATTCAAGTTTTTTTTTCTTTAAATACAGGATTTAATTTCACCGAGTGTTATACTGTGTTGATTATTTAAATGTACATGCCCTTTGATTAATAAACATTACGTCTTGTTTTCTTTTCATTTACTATTCATAACTGTTTGATATAATTATGATATTGATATTTTGTTAAGTTTACTTGTATATGCAGGGACATCGTAAAAATATTTCTTTGGTCTTCTACATATTCAAGTGTTCCCATTCTCAAGATGCAATCTAGATTGATAAGCTATCTAATCAAATCACTTTATTGCTTTTTTGTAACATTAATATAAAATACGACGGAATATCAACATAGTTATATAACAATTGATAACATTCAAATATTGCTCAGCAAGTAGATAAAATAATCATATTTTTATAATTATCGAGAACACGTCGCGCTAATAATTGAGTAGAACCCTAAATGACTTTATGGGTGTCGCCAATTTAAAATGGACGTCGCGTCAAGTTTCAACGTAAGTCAATTACAATTGTAACATTTTAACTATATAACTGATTATTTTGTTTTGAAAAAAAAAATACAAACAAACAAAGAAATAAAAATAAAAACAACCAAAAAAGAAACAATAAAAAACAATTAATTAATATTATTGATAAAAACTCCTACAGATATTAACATTAGAGTTAACATGACATTAATCTAATTGATTTTACTATTATATTTAATAAAAAATTAAATGCTTAAATTTGGTGTGACAGGCTATAGTATAAATCTATGTGTCGCAGATGGAGGTTGCGTTCATACACGGACTAAATCAAATAGAATCTATACTTGCCGTCTTGATGCACCATTTAATGCTACCATTTAATGCTCTTATCTTAAAATATAACTTATCACACAATATAATATATCAAATAAGCTTAACCATCATCCTTAACAGTGGTTTGATTTTCGGGATCAACTTTGTTCCAGTACAAGTGGTGCGTCAAATTAAATTTTGTTGCTATCAATAGTGTGTTTATGAAATATAATAACATTTGGAAAAAAAGGCGCCAGTCAGTTCCGTTGTCATTAAATGGAAGAATTTACAAATATATCGAGGCGACATGTTTATGGGTCGAAATCTATTGTAGCTTCAAGAATGCAACGGAACTTAAAATATCTCCTGATTTTCCAAAGTCTTAGACTACTGGCTTTGGTTGATAAATGTGCTTTTTGCCAAGCATATGATAATGTTTAAATATATACGAATTGATTATACTTTTTTGTACTTCCTGATTACTATAATAGGAATCCGCCTATGTATTATAATAGTTAAATGTTTATTTATATTAACGAGTGCAAGAATGCTTGTTTGGCAATATTGACCTGACACAAGGATATGACCTTTTATCGGATTCCGAAGTAAACCATGTAAATGGATTATGTATCACTTAAAGTGACTGACACAACTACAACCTAACTAGCAATGATAAGGAGTTAAGACTTTTAGTTTCCAATCGAATGTAATACGTTCGAATCTTGATAAAACTGTAGTTATTTATGGATTATTTTAAATCATATTTTGCGAACGTTGACTACTAAGTTTTAGTGCATACCAATCCCCAATTGTACGGGTCTACAAATTAAAAATATGCAATTATTTACATAATTATACATCTTTATATCAAAGACTTCATTTAATTTCTTTTACAGAAAAAACACAAGGAATTAAAGAAATGATTCATCCACAAATGCTGAATATATTTAAAAAAAAAAATGAAAGTAATCTTATAGATAAATAGTTTGTTAAGGATTCGAACTTCGAGATTGCTATGCTATCATACTTACAACTAGGCCATCGAGACGTTAGTATATAAAAAAACATCGGAAACAAACGAAAGAAACGTCCTAATATTAATGCGTCTCAGGTCAATATTACCACACAATATTTTCGCTTATCACAACACACATTCATTTTCCAAAACTAGCAGACATTTCTTTTATACATGGCGTCATGTCCGATTACTGGGCATACCATACAAAGATAATTGGATATTACATATAAGCAGCTATATAAGTATATACTTATACAAAAGACGGGATAGATATTCTCTTTTATTTTTATCACAAATTAAAAGTAAGGCGATAACGTACAAAGGTTTATCGGTTTAATACAGTGCAATGTTAATCAGTTAAAGTTTAAAATTGTACTATTACCATAAATAGAAAAGCTGATTATTTCATATATATTTAAGCTGACAACTTCAGTCATACATTGAGAATATATTACTATTAAACCCGCTTTAGCCGTCAAGTGTCATTTATAGTTCTATGGGGTATAGACGAGAGCTTTCTTTGACCTTTTATCGCCAATGTCTATTTAAATTCAGTTTGTCTTGTATATTTATCGTTGAGTACAAAAAATCACAACAAAACTATGAGGAATTCCCTCATTTTCCAATATATTTAGTTCAAACGTTGGGCTATTAATTCGATCCGGAACGTTCAGTTAATACATTTAGTGACTGAATTACTTGGAATGTTGTTACAATACATAGTTACAAGTGAACTAATTACTGTTTTAAACTTTTTTCAGTTACTTGTCAGATTCTGGTAGAGAACGTGGAACAAATGGTAGTACATGTCCTATTATTGCTAGCAAAAAGCCATGCTGCCGTTAAGAAAACAACTGGAAATCCTAAATAAAAGTTTATTGTAAACTACATATGAAATGGACCATTTATTCAATTCTTCGTTTTTCAAAAGCTATGTGAGTCCGTTTTTATTATTATCATTGTTATTTACAGAAATAATGATTTATTTGAAAGATGAATCGATTAGTAAATTGTCGGACATGATTCATGTAATACTATATGTTATAGAATTGGCAACTCTCAATGTGATCTGTGAGACGACACTATTTTTGGAACATTGGCAGGAGGCTTTATATATCAAATATACAAGTATTGCAACCCCTAATATTCTCAATAAAGCCATAACTTTACAATACAATTATACGATAAATAAACAAAGTGCGTACGCATCAAATTGGGGTGTATATGTGTTATGTAAATAAAAAAAAATCAGAGGTGTTATTATAGTCAACAAACCTTAAAACAGACCTTTGAGATTTTATTGTCCATCTTTTAAAAGAAAAATAAGATAAAAGATAACGAACGATGGGCTAAAAATTTTTGTCGTGTGACAACAAGAATTTAAGTTGCGGACAAATTTTTCTAATCATCGAATCATCGGATATAATATACCATTAATAAACTTGTTTAACACATTGTTTTAGTGATAGGTGTGTCTTCGCCGCCAAGAACAAAAAATTACACTTACATCATTTTCAATTGTAACAGTTTAAGACCACTTGACGTAGAGTCAATGCGTTTGTAAGCAGAACGTCATATTAACACTGTTAACGTTGTAAATGATACTACAACTAAAGAAATAAGAAGTGTAGCATCTCTTCCGTCCATGTATATATTATATTGAAATACTGGCGTTGCAATAATACTTTTAACGTTGATATTGTATAGAAAAAAAGATTTTTTCCATGTATAAACATATTTATTTCATATTGCAATGGTATATTATCCGGATAAATGATAAAAGCCAAAATAGTTACGAGTTATCAGAACTTGAATATTTATAGTGAGTCTTAAAGGAACTGCAATGAAGTTTTGGCATGTCATTACTGAAAATATTTGTTTTCGAGAATTATGTACCATTGACGAAAGTTTTGATCCATAACATGGGTGAGGATTTTCAGAATAGTCAACTTTATTCTGAGTGTATTTTTATCATACTTTGCAGAAATGTCCATTTTAAGTGTTTCACCTCATTTATATGTAAGAATTGCATATTTTGTTATTTTTTAACCTAAGTGGAATCTAGCTTCACTGTGATGTTGTTAACAATAGCTCTGTTTGCTTTCTCATTGCAGTTGGGTAAAATGAAATCTCCGTGTACATCGGATACGTCTTTGACGGGACTAAAATCAAACAGTTCCAATGAATCATATGTTTCAAATTGCACTACGCCGGCGTTGGATGATTTTTTCGATTTCGATTTTCCAGATCGATTTAATTATGAGAAACCCACAGTTTATACAGTTGGACTGAATCTATTCTCTTATCTAACACCATTTATACTTATTATAGGCCTTGTAGGAAACGGCCTTTCGGCGGCAGTATTTAGCACAAAGAATATGCGGAAAATGTCTGCAAGTTCTTATCTTTCGGCTTTATCAGCAGCAGATATATGTACTCTGATATTCTACGTGTTTATTGAATGGTTACGAAGAGGACTTATTCACATCAACCCGGATGCCCAAATAATACTGCGAATTTTGAATAAGAATGGGCCGTGTCAAATACTTTTGTTTTTCTCATATTTATCTCGAGTCATGTCAACTTGGATTATTGTGATATTCACCATCGAAAGATTTACCGGAGTGTGCTACCCTCTTAAATCGTTTAAAGGAAAATCTAGAAAGATCTTAATCGGAATGCTGGTTGTTGGTGGAATACTTGTGTCATATAAACCTATTCTTAGCAGTGAGAACATCCAAAAAGGACATATCACATGCACCTCTAATTCACTGTACAGCTTTGAGTCATTTGTGTTAGATTCAATTTTTGCTTTACTGATAACACTTGTTCCTTTTATTATTATAACAATACTGAATTTATTAATTATGCGAACCTTATACCTAAGAAACCATCGTCATAATGACCTCTTTGCTGAAACAACTAAAATACGACTAGAGTTTACGTTGATATTACTGGCGATTTCATTCTTTTTCATTGCATTTAATCTGCCTTATTCCGCAGTCTGGTTCAGACATTTTTTATCATCGAGATTTTTGCACTCTGACGCCAGTGATTTTAATCATGGCGATATTGACTATTGGAACGGTGTGCTTAATGTTACTAGAACAGTGTTCTATTTAAACTATTGTGTAAATTTCTTTTTGTACAGTATCACTGGTGCATATTTCAGAAATGAACTAGCATTTATGTTGCGTTTCAGAAAAAGAAAGCGTCGGATGTATAAGTCACACATCCGATGTAGTCGATTTGGCAGCTCAAATCATTCTGGAACCATAGCTACGTACGTTGCATAAGCTACAGTTGTATATATCCTTGTGTTTTTGTTGAAAAAAAAAAGGTTTTGCCAGACGTCATCAATACTGTCATAATTAAAAAATCCTTATAAGCCAGCTAGGTAAAGAGAATTATTGTTTTAAAGCTTGGTGCTTTCAGATGAACAAAAACTGTTTCAAGAAAATCAAACATGAGTATTATATGTACATGTACTAATATTTTGAGAAAAGATAAAAGATTAAAAAATCAGGTTATGTAAGTTAAGGCAGTTAGAGTTATTTTTGAATATGTTGACCTATAATGTAAATTACGTGGATTGTAAGTCCTGTTTTTGTAAATTACTTTGTTTTTCACTTAACAATATTAACTTTTAAATATATTTTCCAAATTTTAGATGATAATTGACATGAAACTGGAGGCATCCTGCTTTTAACAAACCTTACTTGATACACATATTAAAAATACATGTATTGAAAGCAACGAGAGATTCATTATCAGGACGTTAAAAGAACTGACTCATTCCTTTGGAGGCTCCGCAAAATTTAAGTATAGACTAGATTAGATAACGTCAATGTGCTGCTTTCATCCTGAAAAATACATATAACAATTCAAGGCAGTATCGCGAGAAACCTGTGCGACATAGCTACTTGTGATATAATGTTTTACAAAATCTACACTAAGGAATTGCGTCTGCCAAAGTTTGGTTTAAATTATATTTTGACATGATCAAAGTCTCAGCAGGACCAACGAATTCGCACAGCAGACATTACTCGAGCGAATTACTTGAGATAGAAAAAATGTCAATGTCTAGATTTATTATATAGAAGTAACGTGTTGATTTGCTAATTTTATGTCATTCAGGAAAAGTAATGCTCCCATCTTTAAATTCTAGTAATTATCTAGCTGATTGCTTAATAGTATCATAGCAGTTTCATATTTATGCCGAAAGAGAATAACGAAACATATATACGAAGTAAGGACAACAATCGAGTATTATATACGGGATATGTAAAAAGCATTATGCCGGATCAAATACTGAAAACCTAATTAATTATACACCAAATTATCTGTTACTTATCTGAATAATTAACTGACGTGAAGGTTTTATTGATAAACAGAAAAAAATGCTTGTGATCCAATTGGTATTTAACATAATTTTTTTGTTATGTTACTGGTATTAAACGAAAAATAGTTTTTTGTTTAACTGGTAAGTGTTCGTAGATTAAAGCACTCGCAATGATGTGTCAACTAATAATTATGAACGCAAGGAATATGTCTGAAGTATCCGGCATTATTTATTAACTAGCAATTTATCATGTTATGCAAATATCATAAACAGATAAACATATATTTATCTTTTATCTGGCTCGTAAATTTTGAAAGTTGTTGGTACCTTTTAGTTTTCAAGATGGTAAGAATCTAATTCGCCATTTAACTCCTTTTTAACGCAAGGAAATTGTATGTAATTATTCGGACACATGTCTGTTTTTTATCTAATGATATGAGATCCAGGTAGTAAGTAAAAATAGGTACAGTGAAAATAAGGGGTTTACTGTTACCAGAATTTTGCCACATATCTTTCATTTACATCGTATTAGTACAGAACTGTCGTTAAACTGTATTTTTTTTTGTGGAAAATGATTTAAAATTATTCTCATTTATAATAACTACATTTTAATTTGCCGTGAGGGAAATCATCTTCAACCCGCTATAATACATTAAAACACTGAAACTTTGTTGTAAAGACTTCTGACTTAAACAAATAATTGTATATTAAATAGATTGTTTCGTATTTTGTTTCTTTTCAAAAATAAAAAAGATACATTTTATTGTAATTTATTCGTTTCTTGTTTATCAGATTTGTTTAAGCCAGATTCAAAACTTTTATGGTTTCGACGAGTGGTCGGACTAACCGGCAAGCAGGATCATAACTAATTATTAATAAACAATGTTTTTAAAAATGGGGACAGGCTCTCAACTCGTTAATTGTTGATTAAAATCCCGGTATGATTCACTCTATTACAGTTTTATTTTTGACAATTTCTGAATTTCAAGCTCTGATTCAAACAGACCGCTGAATTACTTTATGTTACAACAGTACCTCGCTTTTCTTTCAATGACTCTTCAGGTATTCCTTCAGTTAATGTCTATATGCATGCTAATTTTAGCTGATTGTTTGTGATTCATTTAAACATTTGGGCTGTTATCGTGGCGCATCTAAATGACTGTCAAAAGAGAATTCTTAAGTTGAGTTTTAATCTATTTTCGATAATACATCACATTGCTAAAGGTCAAACATATGCGCATCAAGATCAACAACAAAATCAATTTTATTTCTCCCTAGTCGCAGAACCGTTTTCAAATCACTATTTAATTTGGAATTAAATGAAAATTACAATTATAAAATTAATTAATATATTTGCGAAATAATGGCGGTGGTAGTCCTGTTAAAGAAATTTGCTGGTAATGAAAAGAAATCGTTTCATTTAATTCGTTAATATGACTAAAAGCTCTAGCGAATCTTATTTACTTAAAACACTTAAAAATGATTAATCATTAGATGATCATTAAGTAAATTGTTAACTCGAAGTTCAACAAATCAGGCGCGAAAAATAATGTAAAGTTGCTTCAAGAGCACCATGATGAAATGGTTTGTTGCCATTCGAAATTCGTTTTGTGCAAATATCATTGTGACCTCATAACAATACGTCTAGTTGAAACAATGATTACAAAGCGTAACAAAACAGGAGAAAAGTAACAGGAAATGTGTGCTTTTGCTTTATTCAGAAAACGAGAGTTTATTTAAAAGATTTCCAGCTGTGGTAATTGACACTTAAATAGATATTACGCATTGTTTTTCTCCGTCGTTATAGTTGTAAGAATATTTGAATGCTTAGCATTAACCACTGATCTTAACTGTCTTAAAGAAAAACTGGAACAATCAAGGCAAAAGAGACACAAATATCGAACTTCCCCAATGGTCTGTGGGGCATGGGATTTTATACGTGTAGACATATCTTTCAAAGAAAGTAAATGCGGTTATGTCGTAATATGCTTAGATAAAATAGAGATGAATAAGTAAATTTAAGACATCTTAATTTATCATAGGTTTGTATAAATTGTGATGGTATGACCTGATCTAGAAATAATGAGATAAATGTTTATAAATAATTCATATAATGACTATTCTTATCAATTCCATGTACAACAATATCTTTTTTACGTCAAGTAATTGTTGATGGTTGTCAGTAAATAGAAAATAAGTGTCTGCCGACAGGAAAAATAAGAGTATTGAGTAAACACACTTTTTTAGATCTGGGCCAGCAGATACAGGAAAAGATCTTAATTATACCTTAACCTTTATGTGTGAACTACGGTTAACTTCTCAGATAATTTAATAGGAGTAAACCAATTACAGCTCTTAGGTGACGGTATATATTCATGTTTTGAAAAATGTTGTTAAGGCAAGATTTTGGATTTATTTCAAGCAATAAAAATGATCAATAATGTGGGACATTAGCTGGTGATGTGAGGACATAAAGTGTAAAGATTTTATAGTATGTTTAACAATGACGATAGAATAACTTTTTATTTACTTACTAATTCACATAGGAAAGGAAGTTAAAGAAATAAAGAAACGATATAATATAAGATAAAAAGTATAGTCTATCATTGTATGAATCAATATTATCTAATATTGAACTGTTCCTTTTTCAGATATCATCTGCAGAAATAGTATATATTATTTTACTTTAAAACATAAAATCGTGTTTTTGGCTCTGTTTTTGTTGCTGTTTAAAGGAAAAAGCAACGCCTTAAGCTTCCGTCGATTTGTGTTTTGTTTTTTTTTTTTTTTTGGTTTTTGTTTCCTGTATACCGCCCAGTCGTTTTACCGAAGCAATCAGGTTGTCAATTAACTGTTTGATTTTACTTTAAATAATTGTTTGTCGAGTTTTTTTAGTGTTCCAAGAGAAAATATACATACAGTCAATAACAACCAAATTTTATATAAAAAAAACATAACGTGTAGATTCGATGTAATTCATCAATGGGTATTCAAACATGCGCTCAACGCATCGGGAATGAACTTTTGACTGGAGATATTAATATGTTAAAATTCTAGCATTCTACTAACTGTGACAAATGACAACATTGGTTTCTGTTGAAAAGAATAGTGAAGACATGTTTGTTAATGATAAGTTCCAGGTGAACATGAAATTTGATATCAAGGACAATGCTAATGCCAAAATCATACTAATCAATCAATACAGATGATCAATGAAATTAAAAAAGAAACAAAAGGGATTTTCTGTTATTAATAATAATTGAGCCAATTTGTCTTTATCACTGTTAAGACCGCTATGTCAAAAAAACGAAATCTTACAATATAGAATCGAAATGTTATTTTGTTTCAAACAAATCAAGGGCCGGGTGGTTAACGTCGTTTACTTTAAAGCACTGGACTCTCACAGCTATGGGTTCGAAGCCCAACAGGGTCTTTGGATTCTTACATATGAGGAAGTTATCCAGCTTCCTCACGTGCTTGAAAGAATGTACTGAAGGGCACCTAGACTTTTACTCCGCCAGTTAGGCTTGAAAGGCGCCATTTGACACAATTGTGTTTTTTTAGGAAAACTCCAAATAAACAAAAAATCTTTCGTTGTAACAATTAAATACAGTGACAAAAATAATATAAAATTAATGTGTATTTAGTCAATGTATTGCTTTTTTACAGAATTGATTCATTGTGATATTCGTTAGTAAGTACATATATCTATTTTTATTGTTAACCTTTTTATGTTATAAAGTTGTAAATATATTTGTAATCTATCTAAAATGATCTATTTAGTACATTGATGTACAGTAATATCATCCTCAAATTAAGCGAAATCAGTCAAAGAATCTCCAAAGTAGAAAAAATATTACAGACTCGGTTTGATTTCGTCTGTTTATAACTGGAAAGTTCAAATGTCTTTTCACGCCCAATTTGTAATAGTAACAATAACAGATTGTTCAAGATCCTGTATATCTTGATCAAAAACCACACTAATTAAAGT